AACCTCTGCAATCTCTCAGCAGGTAGGTTGAGCGAGTCATATATAACATTATAGGAAGTTGGGTTGACTGTTCCTTGATTAACACTTTGGGATACCAGGAAGAAGTCGTACCTGTGGATAGAAAAAAAAGTCAGTGAAAAATAAGTGGATCATGGGGAAAATTAAAGACAACAGGAACTTGAAACTTACTTTTCAGGATCAGTGATTACATCGTCAATGATTGAACCAGGTGGGGGATTAGCACCTAGATGAGTGAAAATTTTAGTATTGATTCTCTTCGTTACAATGATATATGCCATCTTCACTTCTTGGCCACCATACACTTGATTTAGGGCAGCCTTTAAGCACTCAAGTTCAGTGCTGAACACGAAGGGAATCTGGCCCTCTCCAACACCATCTCGGTAGACAATGATACGAGCTGGCAACTTTCCACCATTCACCTCTTTGTACTTGATCACAGCCTCTGTGAAGACAAAGGCATTAGTCAAATGTAAGACCTAGTAAAGCTGAAGATATCAAAGACTAAGATGACTTACGGGTCATAGTGAGAGCCAAGTTGGTTGAAAGCTCCTGACCACTTGTATGAGCTGTGACAGCACTGAAATAGCGTGACATGTGCTTGTCTAAAGATGCCACCATGGCACCATAACTCTTATTCTTGTCAGTAGTGTCATGGCAAACATCAAAGCCGACAACCATGAGGTCCTGCAAACAGTTGATTCTAAGCATTACAAGAGAAAAGAAAATAACATGAAAGCAGATGAATGGAGGAATGGTAACTAACCGGCAGTGGAATGGAGACACTCCATGGGGAGCCCCCAATTTTACAGCATATCTGAACTGCAACCTTAGTCGCAATAGACTGCTGACCTTTGGAGTTCAGATTTCGGGCTTGCATAACTTGCGTAGGCACTAAACAGAAACATTAAAAAAACTTAGTCACAGCAAGTTTAGGTAAAAGGACCAAAGCAGACAATGAGCTAATAATAACCTGCTCTGTCCACGCAGCACTTCTTCTTGATTGCAGAGTACACATCTACTCTCTTTCCGCCTACTACACACATGATCAACTGTGGTTGAGAAGTGTCCATGACCTTATTCAACTCTTGAGGGTATTCAGCTGCATTACCCGAACGGAGCTCGACACTGAAAAGGACTCCATTAGTCACAAGTAAATTCAAGAGTAAAGTGAAGTGAATAAAACACTAAGGAACTTACAGCTGGGGGTTTTGGATGTTAAACCGCATGGGGGCAGCTGTCTTCATAAGACATTGGATGAAGGACTGAGCATTTGCTTTGTCCCTGCCAGAAACCAGAACAACCCATCTTTCCAGGTGCTTAACATTCAAGAGGGCACTGTTCCGGAATCCACTAGTCCAGTCAACTCTGGGGCCAGCACCCAAAATCTTGTTGCCTCCCCAGATGATGTTCTCGGTTTCCTCAACTCGACAATCCATTGTCACCAAGTTCTTGTCCAGGGTCATCTTGAACTCTGCAAGCTTGTCAACAGCCTGAAACATTCAAGGGGAACATGAGAAAGTGACACAAGAAACCAAAGAAGGGTAACAAAACAACACCTTACCCTCTTCTCTGCCAACAGCCTCTGATTGAATTGCATGAGCTTTTGAATTCTCTGCTGAGGATTAACTCTAGTGTGAATGGCCAATGCTGACATCAGACGGAAGTTCTCCCTGAACAGAGGATAGGGTGAAGATATAATACAGGACACAATAAGTAAGAGAAGAGGAGAGAGAAGAAATCCCATACCTCATGGCATCTGTTAGCCCTGTGCAGTGGCACACCTCAGGGATCAAATTTATGATTTCTGTCATTCCTGCACGTACATCTCTAGCCTTGGCTTTCGAAACTAGGAGGGGTTGTTTCAAATCCTTAATGGTAATGTTGTATTTTCTTCGCATGTACTCAGCAAAAGTGATCTCCTCGTCTCTGAATTTAAACTTGTGCCCTGGTGTCATTGTCCAATTGACATCATCCACTCTGTAGGTCTTATTATTGTACTTGGTCAGCACAATGCATCCCACCACCTCTCTGGAGAAGTTTCGCTGAAAATTCAGAAAGTACAAGTGAAGAATCGTGAAAACAGTGAATATAATTGGAACTGGGTAGGGAAATAACATACCTGATAATCACTACCCTGCTGCATACAATTCCTCAAAATATCGTAAACAGTCTCAGTCCTCATAACTTTGAAAGTAATTTCACAGCACATCAGAATGCTTGCTTCGTGCTGCCTGATGCTTGTCTTGTAGCCAGGCCAGAGCTCAAGGCCAAACTCAGGGACTTCAATCTGGAGGTAAAGAGTGTTAGCCACAAGAAGAAAAGGACTCCCAAAAAAGATAAAAGTTGAAATATTACCTTTGCCTTGGCATCATAATAATCACGGCCAACCAACTGCAAGTCCAAGGCATTGATACATGACCGGAGAAGCAAGTTGTAGACTTGAATATAGGCATAATCTCCATAATCAACTTGGCCAACATGCCGAATAGTAATAGTAAACACAACACCCTCTCTTTGGTCAGATGTGGCTGTCAGGGTCATTTGGGGATTCTAGAAAGGCAAAGAAATTAGTGAAGAGGTAGTTTAAACATGATACAAACCAACTAGAATCCACAAAAGCTGTTTACCTGAGGGGTGACCAAGCGCTCAGCAGTGTAGAGAACAGTTCCGTCAAACAAATAACCACCCAGCTTGTCTTTATGGGTTCTTAATAGGTACCGGCGCGTACTAGTATGATCCTCTTCTGGAGATATATCCACACGATATTGGTGGAGCACCCAGTCAGGCACAGTGTTGATTTGGAAGTAGTTGGCCATAAACCTCATTTTGACAGCTTTTCCTACAACCTGACCTGCAAGGTAGTATTGACTTTAGAAGGAGCATAACAAGAGAATTTGATCAGAGTTGCAGAATGGAGAAAGAGGCCCTTACCTTTCTTTGTTTTGAGATGATCCGGACGGGTTTTGGGAGCTCTGTCAGGAATATCAATTTGACGACCACCACGCATGGCACCTCGACCTACAGGTGCATGTCCACCATTTCCATTCCCATTCCCAGACGGTGCAGGCTGCGCAGCCGGTCGGCCTACAACAACAAGCAACAGCATGAGTAAAATCACAGCAGCATAGCAGACCAACCCCATGTCTAAGGTACATACCACCCAAGCCCATTTGCTGCATCTGAGCAGGTAAATCGCCAGGCTGGCTCGTAGCCTGTGGCCTATGTGTTGCCCTTGACGAGGCGCCGGGAGGCGGCTGCAAGAAAGAACGAATTACAACCAATCTACAGCAGACTACTATCAGGAGAATTCGCACAGAAAGGAACTTACCCCCCAAGCAGTAGCGGCTGGAGCCCTAGCGGTTGCTGGCTGGGGCGCAGCTGCCGGGCCACCACCCATCTGAGCGTAAGAGGAGGGCCCCCTTGAAGCTCCAGGAGCACCTGGGCCCGTCGGGGCAGCGGCAGTAGCATCACGGTTCTTGTTGCCCCGGCCCCTGCCTTTTCCAGTCATGTTGGCGGACTGAAACAAACGGTTGACGCAATAAGACACAGCCCATGCAAGGCAAAATCAGCACAGGTCACACAATCACCCTCAACAGGGCAGCAACGGCCTAATGTGAGCAACTGTGAGCGACAATAAACGACTACGTGCTAAAAATACACATTCCCGCCGATGAGTGGCCTACGAGCGACTTCAGCAGCTACTGGAAGTATCCCTGAGGCATCTTGCTAAGATGACGATGCAATGGAAACAATTTCGTCTGAGCGCCACCTTCAGATAGTCATGATAAATCAAAGGGGATCGGAAAAGTCTAGTACACTATACCGACGAGGTGAACCAAGTCAAACAACCTGTACTCAAGAGGATCAGACCGAACAGGAAGCGGCAGGCCGAAGCAACAATGAGCGAGCCTGTCAGAGCGGTCAGAACTCAGAAGGCAACGCTGCGCGTTACACGAGAAACACCGAACCGAAACTGATAAGCTGAAACTACTGTCAGTCGCTTGGGAAAATCGGGCAAAAATTGTTGGAAAACTAGCGGGGCACAAGTCAAATGGGGCACATGAGGAAGACACCGGCAAGGCCGGCTGAACTCACATAAAAGCAAAACTTAATCCAACAGAAATTTCACTGTCACACTAACCTAAAACACGAACACGGCACAGACAACAATATTAGTCTCACACCGGAGGGCCCGATAATATTTACTCCTCCGGGGCACAGTCAAACAACGATCAAGCCGAAACCGTCCTCCACCGACCGCACCAAAACGCCAACTGAGGAGGAAGCGCAACACCAACAGGCAGGCTCCTCGCTGGAAATCCCACGACCAATCAGAGACGTGGCTGTGTGGTGGGGGAACCCACGAGGAGGGGGAAGGGAAGGCCAAACACCTTCAAAATGTGGTAATTGTGCTTTTGGGAATTTTTCTATGATATGAGCAATGTTCTAGCGACGAAATAAGAACACTGATGTATTTAAAGATGGTTAATGTGCAAAATTAGGGATAGGCACTACGTATTCTGGGGAGATTAATTTTGACTCACGTAGTGCGTAGTGTATCAAGTTGGTTCACGCAGCTGCCACCAGGTCGCACTAGCAGTCCAGGTTTACCCCAAACCTAACTTTTAAAAGTATTTAATACACTAGGCTACTTTATGTAACTTTAAAAACTATAAGTACATTAAAAAATACCGGTATATTGAAGTCAAGTATGATTCAATCCTTACCGTAAAATGGGGAAACCACCTGTTAGGAGTTAGGCCACATATGATTTTCCTGTTTCCAACTGAAGTTTAACATTAAATCTTACGACATCACCGTCAATTTTCATGAAAACTATACTATTGTGTGTAGTTGATGATCCATTGAGAACAAATTTCGTCTTGTTTTGAAATTTTGTTGTCACATTTGTTTTGTCAACAGTCGACTCGACTCCTTCCCGTTCTTCTTCTTTTACAAATGGCTGTGCGTGAGGCAAAGATGGCGCGTTCTTGTTATTGCTAGCTAAAGTCCTAAATGTTTTCTTTCAAGCGAAGTTTGTTTAGAATTGTTGCAAATTACGATTTTCTATCTGTTTTTTTCTTTAAAAAAGGACGTTATCTGCTTACAACATATTTGGTTGCCGAACGTTGGTTTTGAGTTGTTTTCAGGTTTGTATGATATGTAGGCTAGGCTGCATTGGCTTTCGGATTTGTAGGCCAATTGCTAGTTTGTTTTCTCTCTTGTCACATTTTCTTCTTAAACCATTACTTGTTTTTTTGTTGTTAAAATCTCTTAATGAAAACTCCTACTACATTTTATCAATCGTAACGATTGTTTCCTCATTATCATTTTATGATATAAGGAATATTTTTTCGTGACAACGCATAAATGAAATAAAATGACACTGTATTTTACTCCATCCCCAACCTCCAACCTGTATAGCGTTTGTGCACAAGACTCATAAAATTCAATCTCTTGATTTAAGCTTACTTTTTAAATGAAGTTATTTGAAGACTGTCACAGTTTGATTTGACAATTGCTTTATGTGTCTCTTTTAAGGATACAAAAACTCTTAGAACAATGGACTCGTTCAATGATCACCCAGGTCGGTTATGTAGACTTTGTGCTCAGCCTGAAACTGAGGATAAGCTAATATATATTTACAAAGAAAATGAAGAAGTTGAGGATCACCTTGCAGAGATTATAAACCTGAGTCTACCTATCAAGGTACATCAAACTTCAGACCTTATGCACTAAATACTGGTATTTGTTGCCTCTACTAAGTCTTACTTAAACAGGTTTCACAGATTGACCATTTACCCAAGCAAATTTGTCAGTCTTGTCTGGAAAAATTACAAGCGACTCACGAGTTTGCCTTGAGCTGTCTTGCCACCGAACAGGAACTTCAAGAGCTTTTCGCAGCAAACAAGTTTCAGTAAGGAAAAACAAAATACTTAAATCTATTTTTTGCCATTGCATGCAGTAAAATTTTCATTTTTATAAACTTTTCTAGAAAAAGGTCTGTGAAACACTTTTGCTCTTTCAGATCAGTGGGCGATTCATCTGACAACTCCTTAGGAGATACATTAAAGGTTCGTTGGTTGTAAATTCTAAGAACTCCATTATTTTTTCAAAAATATATTTCCTAACTCTTGTTAATATTCCCAGGACAAAATTGATTTAAAGCTTTCCACTTCAACTTCAGCTGCCTTATGTGAAAAATCGACCGACAACTTGAGTGACTTGGAAGAGGGAAAACTGGAAGAATTTATGAGCCCTCTTCAATGTAGGTCTTCAGAAAGTTATCAATGCCCTCTCTGTTGTGATGGTGAAATGGGCTCATGTCTGGATGAACCTGTTGAGCTAGGTGTTCAAAATCACATATCTCCTCAAAAATCTTTCGAAGAAGAGCTCATGGCACAGTACAATCGAGCAAATGAAGAAGATGATTCTAGCTCATCTGTTGTTGAAGAGGATCTAGAATCAGAATTGGAATCTATCACTGAAGTGGTAGTAGATGAAAACATAGACCAAAGAGATGCTGCCATCAGTATTGGCAATAATTCTTCTGCTGGCCCAGCGAAAAAATTGAGGCAACTGAAAGGGATTCCGAAACACCGACAAATAAGAAGGCAGAAGCACAGAGTAACAGCTGCTCGTGGGAAAAGAAAGGTACAAGGGAAGGCTGAGGAAAGTGATGCCCTGATTTGGATCAAAGCTGATAATGAGGAGTCTATACCACTAGTTCAGTGTATACACTGCAGTGGGTGGTTGCCAGGATATGCTTCTTGTCTACAGCACTCTCTGACCAGTCATATAGATGTTGATGCAGCAGATCAGAAAACATATCATTGTGCACGATGTGAAGGAGTATCAGTTTCAACTCATTCTGATCTTATAAATCATTTTAAGAAGTCCCACTGTCCTAACCATGAGTTTGAAGTGGAGGAGTGTAATGGGCAGTTTGTAGTTTCTGACAAAAGTCAATCAAAGGCTTTATCTGAGGCTAGTGTACCTAGAGATATAACTTATAACTGCAGCATTTGTGAGTAAGTATCTGCACTTTTTGAAAACTAGCACCAATGAATTCCATGAGTGAGCAATATTTAATTGAAACTTATACTTCTTATAGGAAAGGCTTCAATTGGCTTTTAAATCTCCTTCAACATTCTTGTTCACAAGTAAACTGTAATGACTTGTATTGCAATATTTGTGATCAAGAGTATCGCAATCGTCAACGGTTTGTGTTCCATATGAATTTCCACAGCGATATAGCGCCTGTAAGGAATAATTCATTTCTTTTTAATGTTATTGTTTTGTACTTCTGTGAATCTTGTTATTCTCCATGGCCTATTGTACTCTCCCCTTTTCTGCACCTTTTTCAGGCATTGATGTGTGATGTTTGTGACCAGTCCTTTGCTGATGATTCTTTACTATATGATCATGTACGTTTTGCACATGTGACTGAAAATGTCGAGTGTAGTGAGTGTGGAAAGGATTTTAGATCTGAAAAAGGTCTTACTGCCCACCAAATGCTTGCACACAACTCTGATCCTACCATGCAAAATAGACATAAGTGTACTACATGTGGAAAATGTTATAGAGACAAACAGGGACTCAAAGAACATTTAGTTACACACATGAGTGTGAGTTCAAGTGTTATTCTCGCCTGTGTTGATTGAAATTTTGTTCTTTTCTTACTTAGTAATCTTATCAAATTTTTACCATGGGTTTTACTTTTATCTTTGCAGGAAAAACCATTTCCCTGTGACAAATGTGACCGGGCCTATAACCGATACTCACGCCTCAAGCAACATCAACTTTCTCATGTTTATACAGAGTCTATGGAATGTTATGAATGTGTTAATTGTGGTTTAGCCTTTCCCGATATGGATAAAGCACTGGCACATTCAACTTCTGAGGAGCATGAGGTCCAAAATACTGTTCTGGCTAAACTGTACAGGTAATCTATGCAATATTTATTTCCATGATCCCTTTGCAGACATTTAAAACACTTACATAAGTCTTGATACTGATTTACATTTTTTACTCCTAAATTGTTTGGACTTAAAGGTGTGAATACTGTGACACAGTATTTTCTTGTCCGGATGGCCTTAACCAACACCGCCCATCTCATGTAGGAGAAAAACCATTTGTTTGTCACATTTGTGGAGCATCATTTCATACTTATTCAAGAGTCACAACGCACAAAACCACGCATGGCATATATGACCAGATAGAGCCACAAGAAGGTGACTTCACTATCCCCCGGCATTTTCTGTGTGAGCACTGTGGTGAGTTGCTGTTATTTTGCCCAGATTATTTAAGTCAATCTCTGTACCCTACCCTGCCACCCTCTCTTAATTTAATAATATCTTGAAATTTTCTTTAAGGTGTGAGCTATCCCTACTGGAGCTATCTTCAAACTCATCGCAAGATGCGGCATAGTGAAAACCCTTATTCTTTAAGTTGTAAACTTTGCCCTGAAAAGTTTAAAAACTCTTGGAGTGTTGTCTACCACCGTAAGAAAGTGTAAGTACAAACTTGGTGGTCATTCCTATCAGGAAACTTGTTAAGAAACTTGGCGTCAGTTTTTTTTGTTAATCCTAACACTAACTGTCATGATGTAGATGTTAAAAGCTGGTTTGTACTTGTTGCATTTATTTTTATCTCTAGGCATGAAAACAATGGAGAGACAAAAGAATGGCGAAAACGTACTTTACAGTGCCCTCACTGTGGTGTGAACTGCATGTACCAACACACATTAAGCATGCACATAGAACGGAAACATGGCTCATTATTAGATGATGATGGAAAACGAGAGAGTTACCAGTGTGAAGAATGTGGTAAAGTTTTCAAGTACCAGGCAAGGATTTTATTTATCTTACATTTTATTGCTGTTTGCAGCTATTGTTTACAGAAGATTTTTGTTTCCTATGTTATTTAACATTGTGCTCCTTTTTATTTATTCCCTCTATGTATATTTTTTTGCCAGTCCTCCCTTCTGCTGCACCAAAAAATGCATCAAGGTCAAAAAAGTTTTCAGTGTGAGGAATGTGATAAATCATTTCTTACTATGTAAGTTATTCTCATACTTCAAACCTATGCAATAAACGCATTGTATCCATAAAGGCCACACACTTTTCTTTTTTACTTACTTTAATTGCTTTCATTGCAGTGCTACTCTGCGTAATCACACCAAAAGATGCCATCAGGGTATAAAACCACACCAATGTGAATATTGTGGAAAAGCATTCTTTCACAGAGTTACCCGTGATGATCACTTGCGAGTGCATACAGGTGAAAAACCTTTCAAGTGTCAATTCTGTGATAAAAGATTCCGCTTGAAGTCTATGCTAACAGACCATGCCAAGTAAGTATCTCACTGCAATACTGTTTCAAATTTAGATTTAGAAAAGTTATAGCAGTGAGGTAATCAATTTTTCTGACTATCGAGACTGCTTTTATTTTATCTATCTATCCTCTTCCTCTTAGAATCCATAATGATCATCGCCCGTACCCATGTGATGTCTGTGGGACATCTTTCAGGCGCATGGTTCACATGAAACAGCACCGTATGCTACATACCGGTGAAAAGCCTTTCCAATGTAGGTACTGCGGTCAAGATTTTCGTTTAAAGCAGGAACTTCAACGCCACATGAAATCAAAGCATGGGGAACTAGCTGTGGAGAATATTGAGGAAGAGGAATATATCTTTGCAGACCAGTAAAATTCTGAAAAGAACTCCTCTTTGATCTCAACAGGTCAAGATCAATTTTAATGCTTAAACTGAAAGTATGACTGTATGTCTTTTTCTAACTAAATGTTTTCTCTTAGGACCTTAGATATTTAAAATTCATCAGAAGTCCTTTCTGAATAGACATGTTGTAGAAGCCATGAGAATAATACCTGTTGAAAGATAAGCAAGATAAGATCGGTTCTTATCTTTTACTTCTATTGTAGGGTTAGTTGATAACAATAAAGAAACATACTATATAATACTAAGTACTACTTTTGAAAATTCCTCTTTGACAGAAATGAAAAACGCAATTTGAAATATTGAATCATTTTATTAGACGTGTGTTAATAACTGTTGAAAATGCTTCTTTTTTGAGGATTGAAGTGAGTGTCCTAAGTGTTTGATTGAGTTTTGGCAGAGTTTGCAGAAAATGCAAGACCGGTACAAGTTGTGGGACTTTTAAACAAAGGTCGCATATCACAAAACTTTGGGTGTTCCTTGTCTCCAAGAAGCTTAAAGATAACTGTTTCTGTTGTAGTTATGAAGCAGCCCATTTGACGAAGTCGCTTCAATGGAAAAATATTTAATATTAATCATAAAACCAGCGAAACTAGTAGAATATATAAGATGCTGAAAATAAATACCTCAAATGCTAAGAGCCGGTCCTCTTGTGTACGGGAAGTGCACGCATCAGCAACAATATGAACCTTGTAACCTCTAGCACAGAGCTCTGCTGCAGTTTGCTCCACACATATGTGGGTCTAAGAAAAATAAAAAAGTAAAAATTACATCTATATTTAAAAAAAAAAACTTGACAAGAAGGAAAGCCAAGCGAGAGGTAACAGTAATCTGAAATTTCTATAATACCTCAATTCCAAAGAGAACAACACACTGGAGATGTCCACCACAAACATCATTGATTTGTGTCATAACTTCAGGGATGATCATGCTAAACTTTGTTTTACTGTGAACACCAACTGCATGATTGATGTCAAGTTCTTTGACAGTGCTCCCCAAGCCGACAGGATTTTGTTCAGTAACTATCAATGGTATATCTAAAATTCTACTTGCCTGCACCTGGAAAAAAATCAAGATTAGTTAAGAGGCAGTTTTTAGTTAACAAAATAGAGAAATTTTCATATAATAGCTAATTCCTTTTCCTTGTTGAGCTGTAGTCCTTAAATAGTGTATAAAGTAAAATTCATTGGGTTAAGAAAACCTCACCAACTTATCTGCAGCTTGCACTATCTCCTGAAAATGAAGCATAGCGGGACGGAATTTTTCCTGAATATCACACAGAAAGAAAGCTGTGTGTTTCTCCGGCAAAAGACCAAATTTTACAAGAACCGGAACAGGCGACATTCTTATTTACAAATTTGTGGGCTATGAAAAGACGAAAACAGTAGAAAGAACATAGGTCCTACTGATAGAACTCAATTCCTTGTTGTCAAGTCAACGAGTGCGTTGTCAGCAATACGTTTGAACTGGTCTGAGGACCAGAGGACCGAGGTGCGGGCGGGAGGGAAGGGAAGACGAGTACAGTCGGCGCAGCTTTACTTCTGTCTTCGGGTTTTTAGGTCACGTGACAGCCGAATAGCTTCCTAAGCCAATCGGAACGTTTTCGGCTGTGGAGGGGGAACGGCCGAACTCCGAACCCGAAGACGGAAGTAATGCTGCGACGACTGTACCTTCTGGCGATTTGTTCGGCTAGTTTCTCATACCCCTCAAACCCAGCAAGGAAGTGGATTTGGCATTGCTTCGGGTCTTGTTCGGCGTTTGTTCGGGCCCGAGCCGACTACCGCCCCGCCCGCAGCCAGCCAGCCACAGCAGCCAGCCAGCCAGCCAGCCCAGCAGTCAGTCAGCAGCCTGCAGGACTGCACCGCAGCGGATCGGCACCGCACTGAATCGAACCGACGCGAGGTCCGCTTGGAAAACCGGACAGTGTGTTGTGTTGTCGGCCTACAAGTCATAACAAAAGTTTTCTACCCAAGTTCAAGCCGAATTAAACCTTAAACCTTGCCGAGCGGAGCAGGAGATGTAGCAGACGAAGTCGTTGACTACCTATTAAATGGGAATTTTAGAAAAGAAGACAAAGAGAATGAAGTTACGACTTGTGTGTACCCACAACCCCTTCTTTGTGCTCAAAGGATTCCAGTATTCTTGTTAAAAACAACCTAATTTTTAAAAACCAATGTAGGGTTGTGGGAACCACACTTGAAATAGCCGTTTCATTTTTTTATATTAAAAAAAAAACTACTAACTTACTGAGGGGAAAAAAAGCTGCATTTTAAAATCATAGTGCGTGAAGTGAATTGTGCTTATTTCGGTTGTGAGCAAAGGATACGTACCAACGACCGGATTTTTTATTTGGATACCATCACAACACTCAACGTACCCTAAGAGTTTGGGTGAGTGAAAGTGCTATTCATTTAACTGCCTTTACTTTATCTGGTCCTCCGTAAGATGTTCAGAAATATTTTCTGTCACAGTACCGCTCCGAACACCCGGTGTCTCAGAGCCAATCGACAGTTCAACATTGTCATGTATGAAACAGTCTCTTTATTTCGAGATTAATAAACTTCTACTATTTGTTTGGCTACTGCGAATATCCAAGACATCTCCCACAAAAAAAACTTTCTGCTTTATCCATGATCAGCTTTGCGGAACCCGAAGTGGTTCCGAACCATTCATAACATTTTGGTGCTGATAAACATAGACCTTGAGGACTAACTCTCTGCGGTTAAAGCGTAGCCCATGGCCATATTTAACCACGCATTAGTACTTTTTACGTACTCCACCAGCTTCCTCATTCAAAGATTTCTTGATATTCCCAATATTTATGGTTAAAAGTGAGGTTATGTTGTTCTCCAGCGTCTTCTCCGCCTCCCTCTTTAGGCTGCGCTCGGCCGTAATCATATTTTTTCTCTATTTCTCTATTTTCTTGGGTCGAAAATGGAAATCGAATACAAATTTGTGATCTGAAAGAAACATCTTTTAAAAATTCCAATCAAGAAAATGGTTTACCAGTCATTAAATTAAAAAATATCTCTAGTAGTTATTTTATACAATCATGATATTAGAACTGCTGGTGAACGTGCGCAGCTTAGATTGATTCCTACATTTCTCTAAAACTGGCGCCGACGCCTCGAGCGGGTTGACGTTGAATGGCGGGTTTAAAACAACATCGCACTTACCACTTACGCGTCCCTTCTCTCCGCCCCTCCCCCCCCCTCTCTCTCTCTCTCTGCCTGCGACGCTGACTCTCCCCCCCCCTATAAATCTCTCCCTCTCCCCTTCAAACGCGTATAAGAGCAGGCAGGTGAGAGCGCAGATTAAGATATTTTCTCGTTGTGGTCGTGTCGTTGGACCTCTCATAACGTATGAACAGTAGTATGAACGGTCCTTGCTTGCTACGCTGGCCACTTGGTGTGGCGCGATGCGCCGCTGCTCCGAGTATGTGCTGCTCGCCGTCACCGTCCAGGCCGTCATCGTCCACATTCCCAACCCCTCACCCCATTCCCTGAGGGTCCTCGCCTCATTTTTCTTGGAGCTATCCAAGCAGCCGCCGTGGGGGTGGGCTCCTGTGATCTCGGCGCCGCGA